TCTTTTGGCTTAAGGAAGAACAGGCATGATGTAAACAGGAACGACAATTGATGGAGTCAAGTTTATTGTGCATCTTTGTTCTTTTTTTTTAAACTTTTTTTAAAATCTTCTTGCAGTGCTGGGATCAAACCTAGCTATGTGCATGCTAGGCAAGCATTTGGCTTTGTGTACATTTATATATTCAACAGATTTTTATCTTTCCAGGGACATAGGGCATATAGACAGGTTCATAGCCAGCTCAGTTCTCAAAGGAATTGATAAAGAAAGATAGTAGAGGAACCCATCATTCAACTTCATTGAGTTATGCATCAGCAGAGAGGGAATATTTTTTCCATTTTTCCTTCCTTCCTTCCTTCCTTCCTTCCTTCCTTCCTTCCTTCCTTCCTTCCTATTTACTTATTTAGAACATATATTCTATAAATTAGAAACAAGCTTGTTTAACATGTCAATCCCAGTTCCCTCTCCCTCCCCTCTTCCACTGCCCCCACCAACCCCCCATCCCACCCCCTGTACTCTCCCAGGAGGCTGAGGCCTTCCATGGGGGTCTTCAAAGTCTTTCATATCATTTGGAGAAGGGCCTAGGCCCTCCCCGTGTGTCTAGGCTGAGACAGTATCCCTCTATGTGGAATGGGCTCCCAGAGTCCATTTCTATACTAGGGATAAACACAGATCTACTACCAGAGGCCCCATAGACTGCACAGGCCTCCTAACTGACACCCACATTCAGGGGGTTGGATCCGTCCTATGCTGGTTTCCCAGCTCTCAGTCTGGGGTCCATGAGGTACCCATTGTTCAGGTCAGCTGTTTGTGTGGGTTTCCCCAGCCTGATCTTGACCCCTTTGCTCATCACCCTCCGAGAGGGAATACTTTTATATTTGCTTTTATCTTGTGTTATTTTGCAGCAGTTTTTGTCATTGAAATCAGATGGAAATAGAGCCTTGAGGTAAAAAAAGATAAAAGTGTGTGTGTGTGTGTGTGTGTGTGTGTGTGTATGCCCCTCTCTCTCTCTCTCTCTCTCTCTGTGTGTGTGTGTGTGTGTGCTTGTGGTGTTATTCAAGGCATGTAAAATGTATTTCATATATAAATTAATAGACTTTTGAAATGCAACTTATTTCATGTGCTTCAGAGACCTCCAATTACAGGTACCACAGCTGATCCTCAGCCTTCTAATGAAATCTAAAACCCATTACCATGTGTATTCTGAGGCTACAGTCCCCACTTCTTAGGAGCTGCTCCCAGTAAAACACTGAACCTGGAAGGGACGCTGAGGCAAGCTAGCTCATGGGACACCTTGACTCATGGTGGACTTGGACTCAAGGTTCCATGATGGTTCTGACAAATCTTTAGACTGCCTGAGTGGCCAAGAATGTGTCTATTAATTTTCCTTCCTTCAGAACTTACGTGTGGTCAGCCTTACCTGGCTGCTTGTTCTTTTCCTTCACAAGCTGTCCTGGTGTTTTTGTCAACGTGACACAAACTAGGGTTTTTTAGAAGGGAGAGTCACAATTGAGGAAATGCCTCCATAAACTGGCTTGCAGGCAAGCCAATGGGGGGATTTTCTTGATTAATGATGGATGTGGAAGAGCCCAGGCCATTTCCAGTAGTGCCACCACTGGACAAAGTGGTCCCAAGGGTATAAGAAGGCAAACGGAGCAATCCAGGAAAAAGAAGCCAGTGTGCTTGATGGAGAAGCCACTCCAACATGACTTCCACTTCAGTGTCTGCCTTCAGATTCCTGCCTTTACTGATGGAGTGTGATCTGAGAGTTGCAAGATACAATGAACCCGTTCTCTTCAAGTTGTGTCTGTTTGTCTTTTATCATAGTAATAGAAGCCCTATAACACAGGCATCCCCTGACTAACATGTTGCATGCTAAACTCTGCCTTTTCCCAGTTGCATGTTGAACTTTGCTATTCTGTGGACTCCACTAACATCCACTATACAGTTTCCCCAGACACAGACTCATATGTTTACTAAGTTGCATTTGGATCAAAAGAGTGAAAATAAAGATATACTTTTGGCTTAGTTTACAGAAGATTCAGGAACCTGTGTGTGTGTGTGTGTGTAGACCTAGAATGAAAATGATTCACCATGCACTTCTAACAGTTTTTTTAAAATTTTTTATTCAAGTGAATGTTTAATAATTCAAAATGTAAAATCAAATGTTGGGATTAAAAAATACAAAGTTTTGAAAAAAAGAAAAGCTTTAGAGACAGCACACAACATTTGCCCCATTGAAAATGGACATTTGTTGCTCTGTGACTGGTTAAGTGATACTTAGGATTAGGTGGATTTCAGGGCTAGAGAGAGAACTCAATCAATAAAGTGATTGGATTGCCACACAACCATCAGCAGCTGATATGAGCTCTAGAACCTATGTACAACAGGCAGGCTTGGAAGCACATCTTTGTAATCGTAGCACTGGGAGGCAGATTTGGATTCCTGGGACTAGACAGCAAGCCAACCTGATTATTTGGAGAGTCCTAGGCCAGTGAGAGATCCTGTTTCAAAAAAGAAGCTGGGAACGCCCGAAGTTGACTTCTGGCCCCCACATGCATGTCCACACACACCCACATAGGTTGTATGAATGATGCCAAGCAAACTTTGCCTATTTAATGTTATTGTTTTTTGAGATAGGGTCTCACTATGTAACTGGCAGGCCTGGGACTTGCTATGTAGAGCATGTTGGCCTCAATCATGCTGGCAGATCCTCCTGCCCCTATGTCCCGAATGCTGGGATTAAGGGCGTGTACCAATATGCTTGGCAACTTCCCTTACTTTGGTATTCCATGACAACTTCTTCCACCTGAACCAGTTATGAAACTGATAGCAGCAGAATGTTGATTCGTTTTAATTTATTATCCAGCATTTTTTTTCTTGGTAAAGAAATCTTTTCTTTCATTCCCTACTGTCATTTTATTTTAAACATTACTATGGACTTGGTGCATTTTAGTATGTAAATCTTAATTCTTCTGTCTGTTGCTAAAATCTTTGCATAGTGAACTCTGCCTTTGAATTTGTTCCTCAGAGGCCCCCACTCACACACAGATTAGAAACTGAGTTAGCAAAGAGCGGGCAATCTGAGGGAGAGAATCAACAAGTCTGACACAGGAGGGGGTGGGGAATAGTTGGAAATGTTTACTGACATGAAATGACTGTAACAAACACAATATGTTGTATGCTAAATTAAAAAAATTAATGAAAGGGGGTGTCTAAGTTAGGGTTTCTATTACTGTGAAGAGATACCACACCGTGGCAACTGCTATAAAGGAAAATATTTAACTGGGTGGCTTACAGTTCAGAGGTTCAGTCCATTATCATCATGGTGGGACATGGCGGCACTCAGGCAGACATGGTGCTGAAAAAGGAACTGAGAGTTCCTACAACTTGAGCAGGCAACAGGAAGTGAACTAAGGCCCTGGGTGTGGCTTGAACACATTTGTGCCCTCCCTCACAGTGACACACTTCCTCCAACAAGGCCACACCTCCTAATAGGGCAACTCCCTATGAGCCTATTGGGGCCAGTTACATTCAGACTACCACAGGGAGGAGAAAATGTCTTAAATTTGTGCGGTGACGCACAGCCTTTAGTGCCAGTACTCAAGAGGCAGAGGCAAATGGATCTTTGAGTTCAAATCACAGCCCTTCTAGGTGGCGTTAAATGGACAGTTTCTAAAAGGCTAGTGAAACGGAAAGCTTCCAGGGGAACCACAGTATATTTAAGGAAGTAACACGCACGTGCACACACACACACGCATTCGTACACTTTTCCAGGTTTGAATTAGAATTTTTGTCGTTGATGAGAAAATGTTTGCCAAATAGCTCCAGTTTCTTCAGTCCTGGTCCTCCTGCCTAAGCCTCGAGGAGGGATGGCAGAGGTGTGTCACCGTTCCAGGCCGAATCAGGGCATTACATGAGAGACAGCCCAGTAAAATGGTGGAATCCAAACTTACATTTCTTACCTTAGAGCTGAGGACAGGTCTTAGCACTTTCCCTATGTAGTTGTAAACATGTATTATTTTGTCTAAGGAGACAGCACACTTGTTGCAGCTTAAGGCTTAGTATGTGTGTCCCAGCTGACACTTCCACCTGGTGGCGGTGCACTCCACTGCAAGTTTTTTAAAAGAAGAAGTCACGCGGAAGTCCCAGGCTAAATTTACAAAACTACTTTGGTTCAGCTTTGCATAAGTGTAGGACGCTGCTTCAGCAGTAACATCCTGTACCAGCAGCGTTTTTGTTCGAACAGTCACGACAAATATTTGCTGAGCGCTGTGCAGTACAGTTTGCACTTTCAGGATCCATCCATTGAGGAGACTCAAATCTGGTTTGCTGGGCTCTCCTTAGAGACTCCATGCAAACCTGGCCTAGGTCACCAGCAAAGAGTTCTGGGACGTTCTCTCTAAAGTCAACGCGATGCGTTTCCAAGACAACAGAAACGTGGTCGATTAAATGGCGAGCCAGGCGCAGACCCGCTGCAGCCGAACTTTTAAAAACTCACCCGTGCAAAACTCTTTATTCCACCATCTAGAGTTGTGTCCTGGGGCGGCTGGCCGGACTGTCGGAAATGCAAGAGCAGAAAGTCCCCCTTTTAACTTTTCTGCCTTTGCAGAAACCTTTGCAAGACAAAGGCTCGTGTGTGACCCCCCTGCACAGGAGAGACACCCCCGCTACCCCGCACGGCAGCCTCGCACCGGGTCGTCCCTGCACCTCGGAGAGCATTCCAGGCTTTTCCACTGATCACTCTGCGGAGAAGCGCGAGCTCGCCCCCGCGTGGCGCCGCGCGGCCCCAGCGCCCGCTCCGGAACCGAGCGGTCGCACGGAACCATGGCTCTGTGCTCCTAGTTTCCGGGGGGAAGAGGGAAGCAAGGACCTGCGCGCAGGGAATGCCTGGGCGCCCTTGGAAGGCTATGGCTAGCGGAAGACAATGTGGGGTGCAGGAGTCGGGGAAAGAGAAGGGGCGCGGGCCCGGGAGGCGCTCACAGTTCTTTAGGGAAGACTCCCAGGCTCCTGCAAACATGCCCCCGTCTCCTCCAGGGAGGGAGGACTCGTGCTTGCCCGGCCAAGTCCCCTGCTTTGGAGCTTGGGAGAAAAGTCCAGCATTTCCCTTGCCAGATAGTGACAGTTTGGGCATGGGCTTTCGGCTCTCCTGTCCCCTCCCGGCCCCTTCCCAACGCCAGCGCTGCTTCCTTCCCACCCAGTCCGGTTTCCTCCGCCTGGCTTCGGGATGCCGCCGAGGAGGAGGTCGGTGGTCTTGAGAGAGAAAACCAGAGGTGCGGGGCCTATGCTCGCTCAACCACTCATGTTGTGGCCTGTATTCTGCAAAGTTCTCTTATTTGCTTGCCCGCAGTAAGCTGTTCATTTACGCAGTCTTTCGTTTCTTCATAGGGTTTATAGCGACGTCGCCAGCCGCTCAGCTGTCACCCACCGAACTGACAGAAATGCGGAATGATCTTTTTAATAAAGAGAAAAGTAGGCAGTTATCGTTAACTCCCCGAACAGAAAAGATCGAAGTTAAGCATGTTGGGAAAACTGATCCTGGCACCGTCTTCGTGATGAATAAAAACATTTCAACTCCCTACAGTTGCGCCATGCGTAAGTAGCAGAATCCGTGTACACTTCTGACCATTTTTACTCGAGCTACGTAGAACACTGCCGAGGGGAAAATGCTGAAATAGCTTTGTGAAGCTATGGAATTTGTTTGGTGCTTTATTGTCGTTCACGGTTCCTTTTACTTTGTGGGTACTGTGGATAATGTAGCGTTTCTGTGGCTTACAGGTTGTCTCCAACTTTGCTTGAATATGACTAAGCTTAGGGTGCTTGATGCCAGTGAGACTCTCTTTCCATTTACTGGGAGCATTTATCCTGCTGGTCTCATTAAAGTATTTTGAGTTTTTGGTTTTTTCTACCTTTTCCTTTCTAGCTTTTTTCTAACCGAATGAAACTCTCATCTGCTTGCTACCTGTCCCTGGTGTTGTGGTTTTTTGTTTAGTATAGGTACTAAATGTATGTATGAATGGAAATGTTACCTATAGTGAATGTTAAAGTTAGTTGTCTCTGTATATTGTTAGAGAGATTCTTGGGCTTATATATGATTTGGTGTGGAAATGAGGGGGCTAAAGACATTTGGATAGAGCTTTGATAGATGTATCTGATATTTGAATTTAGATTATCTCCCAAATGATAGCTAAGAATGATTGGCTGTGTTGTTTAAACTTTTAAAAGAGTCAGTAATGACTGGCAGGGTTACTTACCGGCTGAAACTAGTCTAAGGCTCGTGAACTCAGTCTCACTCTACTCTTGACACTAAAAAAGCACTGATGATGATCTTAGCCTGGGCTATGTGATAGACAGTAGGAGATTTCAGAGGAGAGTAAGACAAACCGAAGGCCACAATGGAACTCCATACATGCCATGTGCAGAGACGAAGTTTCTGAGTTATCCTCACCATGACTTCTAAGACCTTTGTGATGGAACTTATGTACTAGTTTATTTGTTAGATTCTGTAGTTTGATCATTTTTGTGAGTGTGTGTGTGTGTGTAATGTGTAATCAGGGTTAGAGGTAATGGAACAGATTAGAGAGGATTGGTTTACATGTGAATTCTCATTTATAATTTTACAATGGTAACTACATTATTTAACTTGAAATGTCTGTGTAATGCAGTAATGGAAGAAAGAGTTGGTTTGGGAGAAAGACTCAAGGATAATTTACACAGATTTATGTGAGTGTATATATACACATATGTGTATATTTCCTTTTCTTCTGATTGTATGTGAATCAATCCATGTATCCATGCTGTTTCTCTCTGAATATTTAATTATAGCTCTTTGAAGATTATTTTATTAATTGGCAAATTAACTCAAGACTATACTTAGGTTTAATAAATTTTGTTAAAGATTTGGGTAATTTGTTAATAATACCTTTGTGTGTTGATGTTGATGTTTTTTTTTAATTCATCATATGTATAATATTTAATATTTCTGCAAAAATAATTGGCAGAATTTTGCTTTCCATTATTTTGTTCCAGAATGTAGCACTTAAACATGTAACTCTTAGGTTTGGGTTTTGTTAGATTTAGATCATCAATCAGTTTTGCATTCCTAGATTTAAGTGAGTGGTACTGCAGAAAGTCCATTCTGGCTCTTGTGGACGGACAGCCGTGGGACATGTATAAGCCTTTGACCAAGTCCTGTGAGATAAAATTTCTTACTTTCAAAGACCCTGACCCAACAGAAGTGAATAAGGTATTTTTCTCCCTCCTCCAGTTTTTTCTTCTTTTAAATCAAACCTGCATTCTATGAAGTATAAAATCTAAAAATATGGCCAAACTCATATGTGGTATTCTAGTAGATAGTGTTTTACTGTTCAGCTTAGGTATTTTTGTAGCTCAAAATACTATTGGCATCAACTTGTCTGTAATTGGGAAATTATACAGCGTGTCATTTATGCTCATAACCTTTGTAACACTCATACAATTGGGAGTTCCACTCATACTGATCGAACTTGAATTTGGTCTGAATCAGACCATCTTCTGTGGATAATTTTAGTAACTTTTTGACTCTATTCCAGCCACCCCTCCCTTTTGTTTTAACATTACCCTTCAGAGTTCTATTACATTTTATTAGTGACTTTACGGGGCCATATCATTTATCCCCAAAGAACTTGCTACATGGTAAAGTTACCATGGCTTTCTGGGGCTTTCTGCCTCCAGCCTGCTGTTTTAGTCTTACTTCCTACTGGATCTTTTCTCCCTCTTCCTTGCTCTGGCCACAGGAGAGTACTTGGTGGCTAATGACTTATGCTTTATTTTCCTCCTTGCTTTTGCTGGTGCTCATCCTTCAATGCAGATCACTTTCCTTCCCTTTAAAATTCTCTTTGTTTTATGATTCAGCTAAAACACCATCTGCTCTGTGGAACCTGCTAGGTTTCTGCCTGTCAAAATTCTTTAGGATCTAGCAACACTTGGCTAGTGTCTCTAATACAGTATTTTCATCTTACTGCAGGATGCATTAGAATCCTGCTTCTGTTAATACAGAGATAATTCCCTTTTTGGATCTAGTCCTTCACTTCAGGAAATAGTCAATAAACATCTGTTGAAATGACATACTTCAAAAAGAAGCTGATGAAGGCTTTAGTAGTTGTAACACTGTTTAAGTAATTTACAGGTGTTCATCTGATCTCATAAACTCTAGACAGTAGGTGCTTTTCTTCTCATTTCCATGAAGAAATGATAAAGAGAGCTCCCACACCTTGACTAAGGTTACTAGTTAGGAAGTGGTAAGTCTGGATGTGAACCTAGGTATTTTGGCAAAAGTGCAATCGATTTTGATTATATTTATAGCATAATTGCTCTGGATCAATGAGCAGTTATTGGAAAAATCAGTGCTAAGCCAAGAGTTGATTTAAGTTTTACTATTGTAGAATCTTTAGTGAATCTTAGTGTGTTATATTTATGTGTATATGTCTTTCTTTAGGCTTATTGGCGTTCTTGTGCCATGATGATGGGCTGTGTAGTAGAAAGAGCATTCAAAGATGATTATGTGATCAGCTTGGTCAGAGCACCTGAAGTCCCTGGTAATATATACATCAATATTTATACTTTTAGGATTTATAGATACTTTGATTTTGATTATGTACAGAGTTAATTTCTGATTTTATGTAATATATGCTTCATATATTGTAGGTAATAAAATTGCTCTGAAGTAATCTGATGTCAGTAATTAACACAGTAAAATTAGTTACTCTTGAATACAAATGTTATGGAATTGCACTGTCATAGTGTTTCTTTTTTTTTTTTTCTTTCCATTTTAAGACTATTTCTAAATTGAATTTGTGGAAGGGAGAGGAATTGGCAGATAGGTAGGCTGCCGAGAATAGCTGTACTTAAGGGTGGTTCCATTCTTCAGAGACATGACCTGAGGGGGGCACCACATTGATGAGACCCTAGGGTAAGAGTCTATAGCCTTGCTAACATCGGGATTTCTCATCTTTATGGATAGTAGCAATGTGTGAAATTAACACACACACACACACACACACACACACACACACACACACACACACACACTCACACGTGCCAAAATATGTGAGAGAAGCTCAGATGATGATTCTAAGAACAAAAAATAAGTTAAGATATGTAATAGATAAAGAAATTGGACATTTCCTGTGTGTTTACTCATTCATATACTTATCTCTTGTCTTTGGGTAGTTTTTGTATGTAGCATTCATTTGAGAACCCTATAGTGTTAATATTCCTGAAAAGAGTGTGAATGTTTAGGAAAAACTCAAGCTTTTTGGATTGACAAAAGATGAACTGCTTTTGATAGGGGAAATTTTATGATGCCCTAGCAAGCAGCTGGGGTAGTGAAAATAATTTTATAATAGATAGAGTTATGGATGATTGCTAACTTTTATTCTATGCTCTAACTAATCAGTTGTTGCAGATTAGAAACTTCTTACCCTAACAGATTTGTCTTGCTTCTTGTTTTTCTTGCTGTTGGACTTACAGTCATTGCTGGGGCTTTCTGCTATGATGTAGTTTTGGATAAGAGACTGGATGAATGGATGCCAACGAAAGTGAGTATAGCCTTTGGAGCATTATTTTTTGAGTGTGCGTTATACTCTGTTAAATGGTGCTGTTATTAATGCTGAATGGTACTGTACATTGAAGGTACTTAAGAGAACCTCTCTCTGAGAGTCTTTATTGTTTATGTGTCTGTCAGTCACCGATCTGCTATCCACCCATTCATCCTTTCTCACTCTATACTGTAAACACATCTATCTGCTGGTGATTTTTCAGCTTATTTGCCATTTATGTTTGGATTAGGGTATTCACAATAATGAAGTCAGACATACTGCACTTTTATGTCTTGCTTAACTTACTCTTTTTTGTTTATTTTTTTCTTTTATGCATGACACAGAGTCTTACAGTATAGCCTGGCTGGCCTGGAACTAACTTTGTAGATCAGGCTGATATCAGACTCTCAGAGATCTGCCTGCCTTTGCCTCCTTTGCTGGGATTAAAGGTGTGCGCCACCATGCCTTGCTTTTGAGGTGCCTTTCTCAAGGTAGTATATGTAGGGCATCCAGAACATAAGATCCACAAGCTGGGCTGGAGAGATGGCTCAGTAAGAATGCTTGTTGTGTGCCGTCTAGCTTTTTGTCACCGACAGAAGCTAGAGTCATAGGAGAAGAACGAGCTTCAGCTGAGAAAATGTCCCCACCAGACTGGCCTGTAGACAGCTCTGTATAGAGTTTTCCTAGTTAGTGATTGATGTGGGAGGGCCCAGTCTATTGCGGGTCGTGCCATCCCTGGACTGGCGCTCCTGGGTGCTATAAGAAGGCAGGCTGAGCAAGCCACGGAGCAGGCCATTAAGCAGTACAACTCCATGGCCTCTGCTTCAGCTCCTGCTCCCAGTTCTGCCCTGACCTCCTTTGTTGATGGGTGGTGGTGCGAAAGTATGAGTGAAATAAACTTTCCTTCTCCATGACCATGCTTGTGGACACAGTGTTTATCACAACAGTAAAAATCCTACCTGAGATGCCGTGACAGCACGAGGTTCTGAGTATCCATGTAAAACCCTGAGTGTGACTGCACCTACTTGTCACCCTTGCACTGTTGGGGGAGCAGAGGCGGGGATCACTGGAGGTTTGCTAATCATGGTCTAGCTTCAGGTCCTGTGACCTACACTGATGGGAATATGCTAAAGAGTGATAGAGCAGGAACCTGATAATTGATGCTCTCTTCTGGCCTCAGTGTGTATCTCCCACCTCAGCAGGTTCACATATACCACCCACTACACAGACACCGACACCGACACCTCATACACACACACACACACACACACACACACACACACACACACACACCATATGTGTGTGTATGTATGAGCTTAACTTGTTCCTTAATGTTGTGTTAGGGGACCTGGAGCCATACTTGGATTCCCAGAGCAGAGTCTGAAAACTTCCACCTTAAACTATTTTAGTGCTTTGCATACAGTGAGAGTTCTGTATATGCAGGAGGGGTATCTAGAGAGAGATGAGGCTGGAGAGATGGCTCGGCAATGGAAAGAGAACTTGCTGTTCTTACTGAAGACATGGGTTCTGTTCCTAGCACCTACACCAGGCAGCTCATAACTGCCTGTAACTCCAGTGCTAGTAGATCTGACGACACCCTCTCTGGCTTCTGTGGGCACTTGCACACACACAGACATTAAAGAAAAAAACCAAAAACCAAAAAAAAAAAAAAAAAAAAAAACACGGTTTTTCCCCTCGGAGAGTGCTTAAAGAATCAGACATGAAAAACTGACCCAAAATAACAAAGACATACATAACAAAAACCTCAGTTAATTGTGTATTTCTGCTCCATAAATGATGGCGGTCCTGATTGGTCTGGGATATGTTGATAGTACATGGCCAGTGAAACTGAGGGATGAAAACAATGATGTTTTTCTCATGCATGTTTGAACCCAGTTTTAGTCATGTGTGTACACATATGTTCTTTTGTGTCTCAATGCTTATTAGTGTTTCTACTTGTGTTCTGATTTTAGTAAACATTTGTGTATTTTGGGTGAAATATTAAAAGTTTCTCTGCAGAATTGTCTTTAACAGTTTTTACTAGTACAATATCTTACAAGATTTTGAGTTTGTGAAATTGAAAGAATGTGTATAGTTTACATACTCAAATACTGTGAAGGAGAAATGTTCTAATGAGTTACCTTTTCCTTCTTTTGAACTTAGATCTGCAGCACTGAGTGTGTGCTTGTCTTTCTGACTTATAGAGACTTATGGAGACACACTGTGGAGACTGGTTACTAACTATTAATCCTATATTATTTTTCAGGAGAACCTGCGTTCTTTCACAAAAGATGCCCGTGCTTTAATGTACAGGGACCTTCCCTTTGAAACTCTGGAAGTTGATGCAAAAGTGGCATTAGAAATATTTCAACATAACAAGTAAGTGTTGGCTGCATTCTCCTAAAACAATAGCACATAATAACAAAAACTCAATTTTTTAAAGTAATTTTGTCATTTTATTTTACTTATTTATTTATTTATTTATTTTTCTGGCACTGTTGGTTGAACCTTGGGCCTTGTGCATGCTAGGCAGGTAGTTTGCCATTGAGCTAGATTTCCAGCCCTCCTTTTACTTTTGATTGTGAGACACGGTCTCACTAAGTTGTGCAGGCAGACTTTGAAGTTCTCATTTTCCTGTCTTAGTGTTTGAAATACATGGGGTTGTGGGCCTCTTACACCTGAGGTCATGGGCCTTTTACACCTGGAGTCATGGGCTTCTTACACCTGGGTTCATGGTCCTCTTATACTTCTATGCTCAGCAGGAGTTTTTAATCTTTGATTTACGTAAGGCACCTTTTAATTTTTTTGCCCTTAAATTTTTTTTTTTGTTTGTTTGTTTTGCTTTGTTTCATTTCTCTTTCTGTGTTGTCTGTGTTCATCCCATTGCTGTTTCTTTGAGGAAAGTGGTCCCTACTTCCTCAGTAATTTTCTCACTGTGTTTTAGTTTCCATTTTCAGGCCAGCCCTTCTCTTTTTATCAAGATAGTATGTTTACCTTTTTTTTCTCACTCTGAAGTGATAACTTGTAAACAACAGTGTTATTTTTTTACCTCTTGTTCCTCCCCTCCAAGAGAAAAGGTTAAGACTAGAAATGCAAGTAGTCTGGACACTCTTTCTGCATTTAGGCCATACTTTTCTTTCTGTGAAATAACCACCTGATGGATTTGCCAACATTTCAATTCCTGCTTGGCTTCTCAAGTCTCTTTTCCCCTTAAAATTTGTAGCTTCCCTTCTACTTGTCTTTTTAAGAGCAAACTGAACTGGAATGTTTATCCACTAGAAGGTGCTTGGAAAAGAGTATCTGTGTTGAGAACAAAAAGCATTGTAGCCTAAAGCCACAATGTATACTTGGAATTCACAAAGGACATGGTTAGAATTTCCTAAGGTGTTTAGCAATGGACTCACAGACTCTTACAGGAATATTTTGTTGTAACCGTATTAAGAGGTTCCTCAGCTTATTCTCTAGCTTGGCATCTTGCAAAGCAGTATACCTCATAGTATCTTCCAGAGACATTAATCAGTGCTGAAGTGAAAAATCCAGTTAGCCCAGTTGCAAAACAAGGCCTCCCAAAGGGCGGAAGACTGTTTTCCAAGGGATTGGCTGTGAAACCCTTTCCTGTGAAGTGTTTTTAGCATTTCCTAGTTCACTGCACTTTGCACTAATGTATTGTTTAACTGAACTAAAGTATAGCTAGTACCTAGTACCATAGGTCAAACCATCTTGTAGCATTGATGCGTAAGACAATTCCTGGGTTATCAGAGCTTATCAGTTTCCTTTCTGACAATATTCGAGGCACACAGCTTCTAACAGAAATATGATTAAGCCATTTATCTAATTTTATTAAATTTTCCAGTGGCTACATAAAAAATGTTAAAAGAAAATCTGTGATACTAAAATGTTAATTTAACATATGGCCAGTATCAAAGCTGTTAAATATTTTATATTCTTTTCAATCCCAAATGCTCAGAGTCCAGGGCGCATTTACATTTAGGACATATTTCTCTATCACTTCCTGCATCTGAAGTGCTCCCCAGCTGTGTTACTCACAGTGTACTTTTAAGCATCCATCCTGGGTTTGGTGGAATTTTCCTTTTCTACGCTCAACTGTCAGAGGGTAGGGGATTCTGGGACATTGGTATCTTATCTTCGTATGATGGGAGGAAGGGGATAGCTTTGGATAAATTTAGGAGGGTAAGAATGGTGAACTGTAGAAGGTCATTTAGTGACTGGGCCTTTCTGCTTCTGAGAGAAATGAAGGTACCATCATTGGCTTTGCCTCACAGACAAAAGAATGCCACACAAAGTAGGGTTAGGACAGACACATAGTCAGGGGAATTGGCCCCTCCATCTGCATTGGGCGTCTGGTGGGAGAAAGATGACAGGTGTAAATCAGTGCTCCCCACTGCACCCCCAGTTCATGCCCACTTGATATCTACTTGGCCCTTGAGGATACAGGGACAAGTTCTTAGCAAGCATTTACCTGGGCTTCGAGTACTGCATGTGTATTGATTAGTTATACTGACAGAGCTGGGTAAACTCAGAGACTTCAGACACTAGGACTCGTAGGACTTGGTGGTCTAGTGGATACAGGGTGTGGTGTTAGAACAATCAAGGGAATCGCTTTTGGTTTTTCACATATCATAATAAGATAGGAAATTCATGAAAAACAGTTTGAATTAGAAAAGGAGACTTTTTTGTTGTCCCATTTGGTGACTGGTGGTTTAAGGTGTTTATGGGATATCCATCCTGGTAGATGTCAGGAAGGTTTAGATCTCCAGCACTGAGGAGAGCCGTGGATTGGGGCAGGGGTGTGGGGGAATCCCACTGTGTCAGCGGAAGCTAACACTTGAAGTCAAGAAGCTGCTTCCAGGCAGGTGCTTAAGTGAAGATGGGGGTGAAGCCAGATAGACCGAAGTGGGGGGTGGCTAAAGAGCCAGGTTAGCAGGTGGCTGGCATGTCAGCGAGGCCTGTGGAGAGAATGCTGCGATGAGCAAAGTGAAGGATCACACTCAGTGTCCACTCAGTGGGCAGCCATGAGGTGATGTGAGCTTGGTGAGAGAGTTGGTGGAGCTCTGGAATCCAGCCTGAGAAGAGGGAGGTGAGGCGTCGGAGGCTCCAGCTGAAACTGCCGCTGAAGCTCAAGTGGACACAGGGCGTCTTTGAGTGTTTTTGTGTATTTAGAGTTTGAGTTTGAGTTTGAGTTTGTTTTTGGTGCTGCTTTTCAGGTATAAAGTGGACTTCATAGAAGAGAAGGCATCTCAGAATCCCGAGAGAATAGTCAAGCTACACAGGTAAGAGTCTAAAATTGGGTAGCCATGCTACAGTAAGCCTGGCTGTGTTCCCCTAATGAAGGGTGTTGGGAAAGTGGATGCTGTGTTCTGTTTAGTGTTGTCGTGTCCTTACTCTGTTGCTTTGTTAGTGTTGACGGTGACAGCTGGGGGTTTCACATGATCTCTAAGGACAGTCGTGCTTTTGTTTTTCATTTTATGCACTTTCTATCTTTCTGTATTGGCTTGAGACAGGGTCTCTTGTAAACTGGCCTCAAATATGTGATGCTCCTGCTTCAGCCTCCTGAGTGCTGGGATTACAGGCATATGCTACCACATGTGACTTTATGATTTCTTTTTAGTCAGTTGAAGATTTTAGAATGTTAAAAATGTAATTTTTGAGAGTTGCTTTTGAAAGTTGAAACATTCAGATAGGAATTGGACCCTAGTTTTATCTATAAAACCACGAACGATAATTTTTTATTTATGGTTCATGTAAATTAAAATGGAATATACTCTTTGGTACAAGATGGAGAAAATCCACTGCTTATGTTGATGGTTTCCTATGGAGAGCAATTTCTAGGAGTGGGGGATGGAGGAGAAAGGGAGAGAACAGGAGATCACGGTGCATTCTCTTCCAAGGAGGACATGGAATTTCTTCTGTTGCTCTCTGAACAGCAAGCTTGTGGCTTCAGCTACACTGGCTAGCCAGTGAAGTCCTGGGATTCATCCATCTCTGCCCCCATGTAACAAACAGGGTTACAGGCATGCATAGCTATGCTTGCCTTTTACATGGGTGCTGGGCATTGAACTCAGGTCTTTATGCTTGCACATCAAGTCCTCTTATAACTCTGAGCCTTTTCTCCAGTTCCACAGTCCTGGGTGTTTTTCTTCTAGAAACAGTCCTTTTTTTTCTGCATTTACTCTGCCCTGCATACAGAATTATAGACGTGGCTACTGTGGGTTACTGTAAGGTTGTGGGTTGTCAGTCTTAGACAATTTGGATGTGCTTGATAGCATGATGTGTTCATGACTCTTGAAATCCTTTATGCTTATCTGAATCCCAATTAAGAAAAAGATTCCTCTTACAATTTCCCATTGTTTATTCTCTTGGCATGGTATGCCAGGGTTTGTCACTGATGGATTGGGCAGATTATTTTTGCATTGAGATACAGCGAAAAGGAGAAGTAGATTTTTTTTTTTTCAGGCTACTGTGACTTGATATTAATGTTTTCTTTGCTTATTTTTTCTACCAAAACAGAATTGGTGACTTCATTGATGTGAGTGAAGGCCCTCTTATCCCGAGAACAAGTATTTGTTTCCAGTACGAGGTGTCAGCAGTCCACAATCTTCACCCCACTCAGCCAAACCTCGTTCGAAGATTTCAGGGCCTGTCTTTACCCACTCACTTGAGAGTAAGTAAAGCCAGAGCCTTCCCTCCTCCCCTGACTGCCCCAACTAACACCCTACCTATCCCATACCCTTTCTCTCCCCAGGGAGAGTGAGGCCCTCCATAGGGGGTCTTCAGAGTCTGTCATGTCCTTTGGGATAGGGCCTAGGCCCACCCCCTTGTGTCTAAGCTGAGGGAGGATCCCTCTATGTGGAATGGGATATCCCAGACAGATAGCTTCTGTCTGGGAGTGGGTTGGCTCTAGACTTGATTTTATATAAACTGGGAGAACAAGCATTTTCATTTTCCTTGTGTCCCACTAATAATTTTACAACCTCCTTCATAATGTAAAACAGATTTGTTCAGGGCTAAAGGTTCGTTTACGGAATCAAACTGAGGTAGCCTTTTTAATTTTCCAAAGTAGCGTAGGAGAAAAAAGTGATGATGAACTGAGGGGCTCTGGGTGCTTGTTAGTGAGTGGGGCGTCCGGAAGGCCTTGCATGTTGCCCTCTTCCTCTACCCTTAGGATCCGCCGTGAATCAAGGAGGATGTTGTTTCCCACGTTGCCTCCGCCTTTTGTAATGCTTTGTCTTTCATTCTGTTTTTAACATTGGCCTTTGTGGTAACTGTAGTTACAAGAAATAGTAGGTGTCATGCTCGTGTGTCTGGTTTCTTTAGTGGTGATGTCTTAGAAAACAGTGCAGTGTAGCAGTTAGGGTATGGACACGGCTCTAGGAAACATGGGCTGGGCGGGCAGTCCTGCTTCTGGGGTTTCGGTTTTGTTCCATTGATCACACGCACCCATCTCTCTACCATACCCACAGTGTTAGTTACCGTGGCTATAAATAGGGCACTGAATAAGGTCAATAATTTCTTCCATTTTATTGTTCTTTGTCAAAATTGCATTTTTATTATTTTTCCAGTATGTATGTTTGCTTGAGGCAGGGTCTCTCTACATACCTCTGGATATCCTGGCACTCACTATGTAGACCAGGTTGGCCTTGATTTCACAGGTATCCACCTACTTCTGCCTCCAGAGTGCCGGGGCTAAAGGCATGTGCCATGATGCCTGGCCAATGTGTTTTTATTAATTAATTTCAGTTATTGAACATTTCATGTATACAATGTATTTGGTCATATTTACTCCCCCTCCTCCCCTAACTCCTCTCAGATCCATTATTTCTTGACTCCTTTCCAACTTTTGTGTCATCCTTTTTTTATATTTCCCACCAAGTCCAGCTTGTGCTGCCCATGTACTCATGGGTCTGAGGCCATCCATTAGAGTGGTGGACTTGCCGGGGGGTGGGGGGGCACACCCTTAAAAGGAGTACTGACTCTTCCTCCCCTTCAGCTGTCAGTTGCTCAGCTAGGAGTGGGGGACAGTGGTGGGGAGGGAAGAGAGACCTTAAAGGAAGAGGGATTGTCAGCACATGGCAGGCAGGGGAAGGTGGGATACTGGGAAGGACGGTTGAGGTGGAGAGAGGGGTGGGAGTGTAGGCTGAGGAGAAGGTTGGAGGGGAACAACTTACTCTCAGGACTTTTGGAAGAGCCACATGGAATTCTGTTTTATAAGCTTCCTGTGTGTGTGTGTGTGTGTGTGTGTGTGTGTGTATTCATATAAAAATTTAACTACTGGAATTCCTTTGCACTCCATTTAACTTTAGTGTAATCTTTTTAGGATCATTACAGAAATTTCTCTAAATCTCTGTAGTAGTTTGGAAAGAATTGTTATCTTTAGTATGTTCAGTTTCTAATATGTTAATATGGAATCTCTGTTTCATTTATAGAAATATTTTTTCATTTGAAATTTTTTAGCACACATAGCCTAAAGTTGAACTGCAGGGTAGAGGAGTTACAGTAGCTGAAACAGTTTTGCTAGATTGTAACATGGGAGGAGGCATCATCTTGACTTCACAGCCTGTTTGTAGCTGCAGCAATGGAGACTGTGGTACTGAAAGGGATGGACAATAGGACAGAATCAGGAATCCACTCTCACAAGTGGGATGACATCCATGTTCGCATGTTGGCTTTCTCCGAGCACGTGCTTCTTTCCCTAGTTGTTCCCATTTTGATTTATTTGAGATGGTCCTTGAGACGGTCTTCCTTCCCGTTTATTAGCAAATCCTCTTGACTTTTATCTCAAAGCACAATCTGATTCTTCTGTCATCCTTATCCTCCATGGTGTAGCTCTAATTTGTTTAGTTTTTTTTTTCCTCACTTTTTTCAAGACAGGGTTTCTTGATGTAGTCCTAGCTACCCTGGAACCCGCTCTGTAGATCAGGCCCTGCCTCCCAAATGCTGGGATCAAAGGGGGGTGCCACCACTGCCTGGCTGGTCACTTAAAAAAATTATTATGTGTAGGAGTGTTTTGTCTGTATGTATACCTGTGCACTATGTGGTCACTGGAGGCCAGAAGATGGCATCCGATCCTATGGAACTAGAGTTATGGCTGGGTATGCGCTAGCGTGTAGGTGCTAGGAATTGAACCTGGCTCCTGTAGAACAGCCGGTGCTTTTAATCTCCAAGCCACTGATCCAGTCCAATATTTGTTTCCTTTTTTTTTTTTTTTTCCTGAAGACAGGGTCTCCTGTAGTCCAGGCTGACCGTGAAGTCACTGTGTAGATTAAGGTGACCTTGATTTTTCTTCTGACCCTCCTGCCTTTGCTTCTTAAAGCTGAGATTAGAGGTGTGTACTATATACAAGTTGTATAATTCTTCATGCCTCAACTTTCCCAACTTTCCAGTGGTCTCCCTCAAGCAAACCCAGCTCTGTCCTGTGTCACAGCCCTGCAGGAGCGCCCTGCTTGCCTGGCTGACCTCACTGCAGGTCCCTGCCTCCTCTGTCTGCTCTGTCCCAGCTACATGCCGAGTTCTCTGCATCAGTTGTCCCTTCTGCTTCAGGAGGGTTAAGTTTCCTCTTTGGCATATCATGCTGTCTATAGAAGGGTTTGCATGCAGATGATTAGTAATGTTGCCTCTTATTACAGACTTTCTAAGCTCGTGTGTGTGTGTGTGTGTGTGTGTGTGTGTGTGTGTGTGTGTGAAATAGTCACTGACCACTGTGTGTGTGTGTAATATTCACTGACCACTGTGTGTGTGTGTGTGTGTGTGTGTGTGTGTGTGTGTGTGTGAAATAGTCACTGACGGCCTCTGTACCTCACTATCACCATCAGTTACCTTTCTGCCCATTCTTTGGTGGTATAATTTTCTGAATCGTGGGTCTGCCATTTGAGTGTCACAATATTGCAGGGGGTCCTGATGACACCCCCTGTGATTGCTTGTGGTATGATCTAGAGGATGACCTCTAGCGGGGTGAAATCGGCTAGTTAGGGAGAGAACGGTAGTCTTTGGAAAGTGGGGCATGTTTTTGCTTCCCAGTAGAAAGAATGCTTTCTTTGAGAGATCGACACAATGGACATGATGGACAGGACAGGAGGAGGGTCGGCAGACCCCTGCCAAGTGAAGTGGGGGTCCTGTGCAGTTCCTTCCCCCTGTTCATGCTAATCTATCTAGTGTTTGTAGTGATTATTTGGGAATTTCATATAATGCATCGTGATCACACTTACTTCCCAGGTCCACCTCCTACCTTGTGACGTCTCCTCCAAACTAAAAGGAGAAGAAAAAAGGAAGAAAGAAAGAAAAAAAGTTCAATTTGTATTGCCCATCTACTCATGGTCAAACTCCCAGTAGTCAGCCCCGTAAAGAAAACTGAGTCCTTGCACCCCACCTGCACCCCCACTCTCCATCAGTTGTGGAGAGCTATACTTTAATATCCTTATCACACATTTTTTCTTTCTTTTTTAAAAAATTTTAAATTTACTCTTCTCTCATATTCTCCTCATATATTACATCTGACCACAGTTTTCTCTCCCTCCTCTCCTCTCCCGCTACCCCCAATCCACAGCTCTTCTGTTTCCCTTCAGAAAAGGGCCGGCTTCCCAGGGATACCAAGCAAACATGGCACACCAAGTAGCTGTGAGATTAGGTGCCTTCCCTCATATTAAGGCTGGGCAAGGCAGCCCGGTAAGAGAAAAGGGTCCCCAAAGCAGGCAGACTAGTCAGTGGCGGTCCCACTTCCCATTGTTAGTTGTCCCTCAAGAGGACAAAGATACACGACTGTGAATATACGCAGAGGGCTAAGTCAGACCCATTTAGGCTCCCTGATTGTCCGCTCCGTCTCTATTGGCTCCTATGAGACCAGGTTAGTTGATTCTGTGGGTTTTCTCGTAGTGTCTGCCCTTGACCGCTCTGGCTCCTACAGTCCTCCCTCCCTCTCTTCTGCTGTGTTCCCTGAGCTGTTGCTGTCTGGCTGAGGGTTTCTGCATCTGTCTGCATCATTTGCTGGATGTAGCCTTTCTGGTGATGACTATGTTAGGCTCCTGTCAGGAAATCATCATTAGGAATCTTTCCGTTTACTTTTGCTTTTTGCTGGTTGCCTTATCACATTTTTTAAAAAAACTTCTCTTTGATAGCTTCCCTTCTAGGATGTTACTTTTTGGTGGGTTGGGCGTGGGGCAAGGGTAGGGGTTGTTACAGAAGCCTTCTATTCACATTTGTAATCATACTGTAGTTCTGCATATCTTCTTACATGGTTTAAAAAGCTGCATAAAGGGACTGAAGAGATGACTCAGCAGTTAGTAGTACATTCTGCTCTTGTAGAGGACCGGAGTTTGGTGCATAGCACCCACACAGGGAGGCTCCAACTCCAGCGCATCTGAGGCTTCTAGCGTTCTTGGATACCCTCCACAAGCATATGCCTACATACAGACATACACATGGATATGATTTTAAAAAGCTATGTAAAGATTTGGACTTTTACAAAACTTTTGGGGGGCTGGAGAGATAGCTCAGTGGTTAAGAGCATGTGTTCTTGCAGAGGACCTGTGTTCAACTCACAGAGCCATGTGATGGCTCCCAACAGCCCTTAATTCTAGTTCCAGGGATTTGACGGCCCTTTCTGACCTCCACAGGCACCAGGCGTAGATGTGGTGTGAAACACACACATAAAAATAAATCTAAAGACTCCAGCTACCTTCTGTATGCCATTCATAGCCAATATTTTCTTTTCAGGCACATTTTACAATATGGGACAAGCTATTGGAAAGATCTCGGAAAATGGTAAGTTTTCACTGCAGAAATTTCCTTCTATGAAGAAACTTCGTAGAAATTAAGCAACAACCAGAAACCAAACCAAAACACCAGAAAACCCAAAAAACAAAAAAAAACCCAAAACCTCCCTTAAAGGTTTCTGTACTCTGATATTAAGTCTCTCCACCAATGTAATAAATCAGATCAGGCCAAATTAATAGGACCAGGTTTAATCTGAACAAAACAACACCCGGGTCATGGTGTGGAAACACGAGGCAGGCCTAGGGTCTGGGTCTTCAATACCTTATAGCAAGGTCTTAAGTGTCTCAGGGGGAGGAGCCTCCCCTTGTTGGACTTTCTGAGGGGTGGGGTTTGGAGAGGAAGGAGGGGGAGCTGAGGCAGACCTTCTACCCGTACCCCCCCCCAAAAAAAAAAACAGGGTTGTGGGAGCCTGACGGAAGCAAAGAAAACAGTAATAACTTGTCTTGCTAGTAGTGATTATTCACTGATGGTCTTTTGGCAAGAATAGAACTATAATTTGCCTTTTAAATTGTTAATATCATAAAAATGATAGTGTAGGACTGGAAGAGAAGATACGGTGGTAATTATTCTTAGCGGCTGCGTTAGTCCTGATTGAGGCCTTTTCTCAGTTTTGTAAACTTGACGAGCATTTGAAAAGTTAAGGTTTCGAGATGCAAGAGTGTCACGTCTCTTGACGTCAGCACTTCCCTCTTGCAGTCATGTCAGAGAGCTGCCCTGTGATCATTGCCTCAGCTCTTCCGACTTAGTCACTCTGGGGACAATAACGTAAGGCTAACCAGCAGATATACTAAGCACATGACCAGTTTATTTTCAAGTTGCTTATTTCTTCATGACAGTTCTGTCCATGGAATAGGACCATGGGATGTGCTGTTGCCTCTTTACACTAGGTCTGCAATACAACCTGTTCCAAACAAGATACACTGATTAAGAACACCCTGTGTTTCACTTCTGGTGATTTTTGCTTAGTAATGCTTTTGTTCTGTAGACAGAAAGAGTAAGGTGAGAAACTTGGGAAGCCTACATGTAACGTGCCTGTGATTGAGTCTTTTTTCTCGTTTAACTTTCCGTCCGTAATAATCCCTGAAGAAAAGTGGGGCAGGTTTTCATAGGCGTGGAGGCTGAACTGTGGGTAAGGGGTGAACTGGAAGCTTTCACTTTGGACTAAGGCTGTCGGTGTCTTTACAGGTAACTGAGGATGAAACTAGACAGACAGAGGACACTGTATCTACCCCAGAGCCTTCGAAAATTTAAGTATGTATAGTAAATTAAAATAAAAGCTTTTAATATAATGTGTGTTTGCTTCTGCTCCGTGAATACTTCAGGGAGTTCCACGCCCCACAACCTCCATTTATAAACACTTGAAAGTACACTCTGTGTATTGCCACTGTCTGCTTTTGTAAACAGTGGTGTGTGGTGAACATCCTTGTCCAAAATAATGCCTTTGTAGATGGGAGATGCCGGTAACCGTGTAGTCACTTTGTGCCAGGGTGCTAAGTCCCCACACAAAGCTTTTCTGTTTTCTTTGAGGCAGGGTCTCAGCATGCAGTTAAGCCTAGCCTGGAACTTGTATGCAGTGTTAGAATTGGGGTGTGAGCCTTCTAATTCTCACAACTTGTTGAGAAACAGTGTTTCCATCATATAAGTGAGGAAAGGAGTCTGAATGCAGTTGATTTCACTCTGTCTGTTGTGCTTTATGCCGCCTCTCCTATGAATACCTGCACAGGGGTGCGAGTCTGGTAGTGGAGCTACTGTTAGATGCTACCAGACGCTAGCCCCCAAAGGATTCTGTTTTATAAAAATGTTGCAGATAAAAAAAATGTATTCACCCAAATTAACTGACCCCAAAGTCTGTACACATACTCAGTGAACTTCAAGGCAGTTGGAATAGCCATTCAGAACGGAGGCCATGGAGTGTCCCATCAGATGTTCATACTTTAACTATTGAATATATTTTGTATGCACTTAACCATTATCAAATGTGAAAAGCCCAGATAGCGTTAGAGCTAGAAAAGAAATTCGCTGTACATCCCCTGACATAACTCGTGTCTGTTACTTGCACTCAGGTTTTGACAACAGTGCTTGAAAATACCTGCTCCTCACACCCTTGAGCAGACTTTGGCTATTGGTTTTTTTGAAAGCCTTTGCCAAAACAAAATGTGTTTCCTGTTCTAGCCTGAACACTTCTGGAACTGGTGGCCAAGTTTCGTCTGAAGATTTTATTTCCCGTGTGATATCTATTACCCCTCCTCTAGTCTATTGTCTGTTTCTCACCCAACTCATTTTCCTGGAGTTGATCTTTCTGATCCTTCCTGCAGGAAAGTCTCTAAGAGAAGGTGAACCGGGTTTCTCACTGGCTTTTCCCTGTGCTTTCCTTTCAGCAGCTGTTTGGTTAGATACAGAATTCTAATTTGAAAAACAGTTTCCTATCAGCACTCAGAAGTAGTCCAGTTGCCATCTAGCAAGTGACGGTGCTAATGAGGCTGACGGTTTGTTCTTGTTTGATTTGGGGCCTGAAGCTCTGCACCCCCAGGTCCCAGCACATTCTGGACACGTCTGGGAGCTTGTGTTTGTTATAGAATTGGAGCCTTCTATAGCTGTGTCAGCCTCAGTTATTTTTCTTGGTACCTTAGTGGGTCTGCTTAAAGCAGTGTAAAGGTATTTTCATTTGGTGGGCATGCGTAGTTTGCCTGCATGGATTCTCTTCCAGTTTCCCATCTGCTTTCAGAATATCTCAGTTTGGCACAATTTTTTTGCTCCAGTCTCCCAACTCCCTGCCCCCACCTCTTCTGCTAGTTGGTTTATGTAGTTGTTGGTAATGAGTAGGAAAAGCTTAGTTTCTAACTCACAAATGTCTGGGAGAATGGGTCAGCACCTAGCTAATTCTTTGATATCTTATATAATTTAGTGCTTCATTCACTTCAGCCTTCTGGGTACAAACTGGGTTGCTGTTTCCTTCCTCATCCCAGACAACTGCCTTTCATTAAATCAGTCTCGGCCACATTTGCACACTCACACTTCCTCATTACTTACCGGCCCCTCCAAGCACACCCAGTCTTACTCATGCTCCAAGAACTTTTGGAATGACTGGAAATGCTGGTCAGGAACAATCCCATCTCTGATGAAGAGGTCAACAAATAGAAGCCTAGGAGAGCTGGGCAGTAGATACGACTGAGCCTTTGGGCCGTATCTGGGTTGTGTGGACTGTTACAGTGGGGTTATGGCTGGAGAGCCAGTGTTAGGGATACCTGCTATGGTAGCTGTCTTGATTTAGATGGTGGAAATGTTTTAAAGCTTGTATTTAACAATGCTGGTAGACATGGCACTCTATTCTGTGGTATCTCATCTAAGCCTACCATCCTTGCAAATAGATGAGATATATACACTGACAGGGAAACTGAGGCTCAGAGTGAGTAATTTGCCTAGGCATGCAGTAGAGCCCAGAGCTCTTCCAAGAATTCGTTAAAGTGCCTTGTGATGTTCAGAGCTTGTGACTTAGAACTGCAGGAAGGTACTGTAGGAAACCCAGTCTGTTACTAGCATGCTGGGACTTTGTGACCATGGCAACAAAAAACGATTTTGAAGATTTGAGACTCAAAGCAAGGACTCCTGAAGCTAGACACTGGCGGAAGAAATAACAGTCAAAGAAACACCTTGAGTGCGATTCACCTCCACAGAACCTCTGTGGAGCCACAAGGTTGATCCAAGGGTTAAGAGAAGGAATTTATCTTGGCAGCAAACACAGCAGAAAGCAGTGGGGCCATGGGGGTGGGGGATGGGGAGTGGGGTGCCCTTCCACAGGAATACTGTGTCCTGGCAGGCAGGAACGTTCCCCTTACTGTCCTTTATAACTTTTTTTCCATTGTCATCTTTTTGTGTAAATATCTTCTGAAATTACCTTCTGTGCTTTTCAAAAGAAAAAGGATCATCACACACACACACACACTCACTCACACACACACACACACACACACACACACACACACACACACACACACATATTCAAAGCCAACTAAAGACTCATGAAATTTATTTGTAGCGGAAAAAGTTGCTTGACAAAATGTTCAGGAAAACTATCAGAACAGGTAGACATTAAATATAATAATACAACTGTCTGTATATAGTTTATAAGTGATATTATGGAGAAAAATGGCATAGGAATTCAAACATTAAATTTTGTTAAATAATTAACTATAACAAAGCAGCAGGAAGAGTTTTGGATTAATTTTAAGAGAGCATTCATGAGGTACTTTACTACTTTACAAATAGTCTGGGTCTCACGCCACCCTGTAAAGTTTCATTCCATTAAGCAAATGAGGAAACGGAGACAGCAGCTTTACTGTATGGCTCTGCTATTTAACTTGAACCTAGATTTGGGGTTTTGTTTCAAATGAGGACTTTGCTAAGTTAATTTTTTGTGCCTTGTGAGGAAAATACAGGTAGCTCTCAGAAATTACTTATCATGTCAGTTTTTAATACTTTATCTTATTTTCTTGGATTTTCAAGATGGGTTTTCTTTTCACTATAGTCCTAACTGTCCTGGAACTCACGCTGTAGACCAGGCTGGCCTCAAACTCAGAGAGATCTGCCTGCCTCTGCCTCCTGAGTGCTGGGATTAAAGGCATGTGTCACCACCGTCTGGCTACTACTTCATTTAAGACTTCATATTAAAAATCATTCAGTGTTGTCTCAATTATCCCTTAAAATAAAGCACAATTTAAGAGTTATGAATTTTACATCAAAGTTGACTAAATAAGAAATGGTAACATGGAAAAAAGAGTGCCAATTCCAAGTCTTAATAAGAGGTATTTCCAGATAACCCTTGATGACAGTGGAGAATGGCAGCCCTGACTTTTAACTACAGAGATACTATAGAAATGTGTTTTATATATAGTATATTCAGCCTGTATTCTGGTTGAGTCACCCAAAGTGATTATGAGCATCATTTTGAATTAAAAAATGATACAAAAGTTTCATTTTCCATTAAAGATAAAAATAAACATGTTGTGGGCTTGAAGTTGAGATGTTTGGGATACTGCTGATAAATCTTGTAAATGACATTTATCTTAACACAGTGGAACAGCCTAGTAACCGGCTTCTGATGAGTACATTAAGAAATGGAGTCTGAAGTCGATGCTCGTCCAGCAGAGTGACTCAGGGCGCTGTCACCCTCCCACGGCAGCCGTTTGTTCCAGGCGAATGCTAGTAGCAGGCAGGCATCGTACCCTGTTAATGCTAACATGTAGGAGTCAGTCAGACGCAAAAACCCCTATCACGATTAGCATTAACAGCATACAGCCTCCAGTGAGCCCGCAGCATCCAGAGGATGAGGCAAGCGCCACAGCAACCACACGCTTCCCCTTCCTGGTCCACACCTGCAAAGAGAAAAAGAAATGGTTGTGTATGCGCATGCGCTTCTAAAGACCGAGTAGCTGAATCTGCTCAGCTTTGAAAGCAAAGAGTTGGCTAAATGCTTACACTTAAGTTTTGGAAAAATTCGGAAAGATTTGCAATGAAAAGGACAATTTTAAAATTACACTTTAAATTCTGTTTTGTAGGTGAGAATAATTTGTGCACGTGTCATCTTTAAAACCACTGTTCACAGTTCCCAACTGCTAAAGTTCAGAGGACATGGTTTCAGTTCCAGGAGAGTTATAACTCAATGAGCCCATTTTCATTCTGTAATGAGGGGTTGAGGTCCTCTCTTTATTTCTTTCAGGTAGCGTGTGTGATATAGACAGTATACAGGTCTGCCCTAAGACTCTATCTGCAAAGGTTCCTGTTGCTCTGTCGGGATTCCTTTGGGGAAAGCACAGGCCAGTGACTTCAGTGTGATGTGTGGAAAGGAAGTGTGGCTTAGAGAGTACTGACTAAAGGGACTTGTCTCCAGCAAAGAGTCAGGGGAGTAGAAAAAGAAAGAGATGAATTTGCTGTTTCCTGTTAGAGTTGCATTGTACTCTCTCAGATCAAGTGACATTTCTCCCACAAGTTTCTGGTTTCGGTGTTAACTGTAGGCGAACCTAGAAGTTAGACCGTCATTCAAGGCTGTGGTCCCCTTCAGGACCAGAGGGGAACCACCTTTTCTTTCATTTAATAATGAAACCAGCTAGATGTAGAAGTGTGATTAAGTTCAAAAGAAATGCATCAAGTGAAAAATTCCCCAGTGAATATATTTTGACCGGCAGAATATCGTGGCTTGGAAATTTCCAAACCAAGGAAATATATCATACTTACTGATAGTATTTTTTTAAACTTTGCTGTTTTCTCAGATAAGTTGGCTTCATGATGAAAA